TAACACTCATGGGTCATTCGTGACTTGTCCGGGGTTGAGATTTGAACTCATGACTTTGGCATGAGAGGTATAGATGTTTACCATTACGCCGGGGTCGCCCCTAAATTTACTCTTAAATTCTTGTAGAATTAAATCTGAAATTCTAAGCGAATTCATCTGAAATTCTTGCAGAATTTTATCTTAAATTTTTGTGGAATTTTATTTCAAATTCTTGAAGAATTGAATGGTAAATTCTTGTACAATTTTATCTTAAATTCATGTAGAATTTAATCTTCAATTCTTGTAGAATTGAATCTTAAATTCTTGTAGAATTGAATCATAAATTCTTGTAGAATTGAATCATAAATTCTTGCAGAATTGAATCATAAATTCTTGTAGAAATTAATCTTAAAATCTTGTAAAATTTAATCCTTAATCCCTGTTAAAATGAATCTTAAATTCTTGTGGAATTTAATCTTTAATTTTTGTACAATTCAATTCCAAATTGTTGTACAACTGAAACCTTAATTCTTGCAGAATTATTAAATCTTAAGATTAATCACAAATTCTTGTAGAATTGCATTTTAAATTATTGTAGAGTTGAATGTAAAATTCTTGTAGAATTGAATCTTAAATTTTTGTAGAATTTCATCTTAAATTTTTGTAGAATTGAATCTTAACATCTTGTAGAATTGAATCTTGAATTCTTGTAAAGTCAAATCCTTAATTATTGTAGAATTAAATCTAAAATTCTTGTAGAATTTTCTCTTAAATTCTTGTAGTATTGTATTTTGACTTCTTGTAGAATTGAATCCTGAATTCTTGTAAAATCAAATCTTTAATTCTTGTAGAATTTTCATCTTAAATTCTTGTAGAATTTTCTCTTAAATTCTTATAGAATTGAATCTTAACTTCTTGTAGAATTGAATTTTGAATTCGTGTAGAGTTAAATCTTAAATTCTTGTAGACTTAAATCTTAATTTCTTGTAGAATTCAATCTTCAATTTCTGAAGAATTCAATCTTCAGGTATTTAGAAGAATTTAATCCTGTAGAGCTTAAACCTTATCTCTCGTTTAACTTATTGTAGAATTTAATCTGGCACTTTTCGAAAGAATTGAATCTGGAATTCTTGTAAAATTTAATCTGATCTAATTTGTTAATCATTAATTCACGAAGAGTTTAATTTTGATTCCAGAAGAATTTAAAATCTTATTTTTATTAATTTAAATAATCGTTATTTCTTGCTGAATATTCTTGTCGAAGTAAATCATAATTTTCTGTACAATTCAATTCCAAATGGTTGTACAATTTAAACCTAAATTCTTGCAGAATTATTAAAATCTTAAATTTATGTAATACTTAATCTTCAATGTTTGCAGAATTTAATCTTCAATTCTGGAAGAATTTATTTTTCAATTTTTCTCAAACATTGCCTCAAATTCTTGCAGAATTTAATATTCAATTCTTATAGAATTAAGACTCAAATTCTTGTATAAATTTATATTAAATTCTTGCTGAAGTTAATCTTAAATTCCTGTAGATAGTAATCGCAAATCCTTGTAGAATTTAATTAAAAAAAAAAATATTACTGCATTTAATTTTAGATTCTTGTAGAATTTTATCCTAAATTCTTGTAGAATTAAATTATGAATTCTAGTAGAGTTAAATATTAAATTCTTGCAGAAATGAATTTAAATTTCTTGACAGTTTTAATCTAAAATTCTCGAGGAATTTGATCTTTAATTCCTGTAGAATGTAATCGCAAATTCTTGTAGTATTTAATTGAAATAAAGATCTTGCAGGATTAAATATTAGAGTTTTGAAGAATTTTCTCCTAAATTCTTGTAGAATTTAATCTTTAATTCCAGAAGAGTTAAATGTAAATCACTGCAGAATTGAATTTAAATTTATTTAGAGTTTTAATCTTTAATTCTTGTAAAATAAAATCTTATATTCTTGTAGAATTTTATCAAAAATTATTGTTGAATTTAATCTTTAAACTCTTGAAGGATTTGATGTAAAATTCTCGTAGAATTTAGTCTCAAATTTGTCGAAGAATTTATTCTTAAATTCTTATAGAACTTAATCTGAAATTCTTGTAGAATTTAATCTAAAATTCTTGTAGAATTTAATAATACATTCGTGTAGAATTTAATCTAAAATTCTTGTAGAATTTAAACTTAAATTCTTGTAGAATTTAAACCTAAATTCTTGTAGAATTTAATCTAAAATTGTTGTAGAATTTAATTTAAAATTCTTTTAAAATTTAATCTCAAATTCTTGTTGAATTGAATCTAAAATTCTTAAAGAATTTTATCTGAAATTCTTGTAGAATTTAATCTGAAATTCTAGATTTTTTTTAATTTGATCTTTAAATGCTTAAGAATTCAATTTTTAATTCTTGATAAATTTAAATTTAAATTTCTGTCGAATTTTATTTTAAAATTTTTCGAATTTGGACTTAAATTCCGGTAGAATTTCATTTCAAATTCTTGCCGAAGTTAATCTTAAATTTTTGTAGAATTGAATCTAAAATTCTTGTAGAATATAATCTTAAAGTCTTATAGAATATCAAATACTTGTTGAAGGTTCTCTCAAATTCTTGTAAAGATCATCAAATTTTTGAAGAATAAATTTTGAAATTCTTGCAGAATGTGATGCTAAGTTCTTTTCTGATTTAATCTTAATTTCTTGTAGAATTAAGACTTAAATTTCTGTTGAATTAAATTTTTAATTCTTGTCGAAGTTCATTTTTAATTGTTGTAGAATTTAGGCTCAAATTCTTGTAGTATTTATTTGCTTGCAGAATTGAATCTTACATGAATTTTTTTTTTGTCTTCAATTCTTGTAGAATTTAATCTTAATCTTTGCCCTTTAATGTAGAATGAAGTCGCGAATTTTTCATGAATTTAATCTTAATTCATTTATAAATTGTCTACTTGTAGAATTTAATCGTAAATTCTTGTTGAATTTTACCTAACATTCTTGTAGAATTTACTTTAGGATTCTTGAGGAATACAATCTTAAATTCTTTTAGAATCTTAGAAACTTAATCTTATTTTTTTTGCAAAATTTTAATCATTTCTTGCAGAATTTCGACTTAAATTCCGGTAGAATTTAATCTTGAATTTTTATCGAAGTATATCCAAGCATGGAAAATCATTTGCATTCATTTCATGCATTTATTTACATTCATTTGCCTCTAACTTTTTTCATCAACAGCAAATGATGATGTATAGAGATTTAGTAGGTTTTATTATAAGCTACAACTTTTGCCGATAACTCAAATTTGTATCCCTTATGTATCACGAATTAGAGCGGGCAGAACTCGTTACTGTTTTTCAGTGAATGTAAAATACATTCACTGAAAAACAGAAGTGGATTCTGTTTGCTCTGGTTTGTCATGCATAAGAGATACGGATTTGAGTTTTTAACAAAAGTTGTAGTTAATATCAAAATCTACAAAAGTTTCATACATCGTTTTGCGGAATTCTGTCGATGAATTAAGTTAGGGGCAAATGAATGTAAATGAATGCACGAAATGAATGCAAATGATTTTCCATGCCTGAGTATATCTACAATTCTGGATGAATTTAAAGAAATATTCCTATAGTATTTAACGAAAAATTCGTATAGAATTTAATGAAAACTTCTTGTAACTTTTCAATTTGGATTTGAATTTGGAATTCTTGTAAAATTTAATCTTCAATTTTGTAGAATCGAATCTTGAACTCTTGTTCATTTTCTGATAAGATATAATCCAGAATTCTTGTAGAATTTAATCTTGTATTATTGAGATCACATTTCAATTGAGGTTCTTCTAGAAGATTAAAATAGAATTACTTAAAGATTCTCAAAAGATTCACAACAGATTTGCCGTCGGAAACAAAAACTGACTACCACCTTCAACTGTCAACAAGCACAGCTTCCTCGGTGGCTTTCCAGTACGGACCCGTATCATCTCCTCCCTCAGAACACTGTTTACTTTACACACCACACCGGACTGCCCCAGCAGAACGCACTTGGTTCTCGTAAAAGGTTCGTCTTTCCTCTGAGTTGCAGTGTTGCAACAACCACCCACCCTCACCATCATGTTCGTCGTCATCCTCGTCGCCGTCGTCGTCGCCGTTGAGAAAAAAAAGCGATGCGTTGGCTTTGGTTTGACTCTACTCGACTCGGAACAAGGGATGTGGAATGAGAGCAAACACGACAGCGTACAACCAAACAACACGACAGGCGACGACAAAACGCGAAATTGAGACCATCCAACCAACAACCAATACAACAGAATTGCAATGTGAGAGGCTTCTGGATTCGTCGCATCATCGGGAAGAGGTGCGTGTGTTTGGCTTTGTTTGTAAAAACAGTTTGGACGACGGGCTTGCGTCACATTGGGAAATTTGATAATTCTGAGTGAGTGGCTCGCGCAAGATCCCACGAAGACCACCTCGTCGACCTCCTCGGATCGAGTTCATCTTTCGAATCTCATAAATCATTACACCGAGCGGCGGCATAGAAGGGAAACCCATTGGGTGCAATCGCATCACATAATCGCATATTCGCACCACGGGGAGGGAGTCAAAAGTCACACGGGGCGGCTTCTTTGAGCACTCACTCGTTCGCCCGTTCGCTGGCTTGCTCGATGGGCAAAGATCATCATCATCAACGCATCCATTACAGGCTCTGCGATCTCTGTGCGGACCCGATGGACGTGCGCGCTAAGTATTGGACGGCCTGGAAAAACACAACTCACTCAAGAGGGGGGTCCCGCTGTGAGTGCACGGTACCGGGAGGTTGTTGTTTTGGCTACTGGTTCGAGAGATTCGAGTCATGATCAGCGTTTTTCTCCTGTCACTGGGGTTCCGATATCGTCGTCTTCGGCGGTGATATTGAGCGATCGAAGGGGAAATGCTCCGTGACGGTGATTGATTTTTGTCCTCACCAATCGTGGACTGAGTCGTGTCGGCCGATCTTAAGAATAGTAATCTGTGGAAGGATGGGAAATTGGGAAAACACTCACCTTGTGGGCTCTGATGGAGGCGCCCTCTGAGCAAGCTAGTGTTACGTCCACCAGACTCTCGTCCTGCAGCAATTGGCTAAACACCCCTAACAGGTTGGATTGATGATTGTGCCACCTCAAGCAGTAATGCTCACTGCCCATGTCGGTGACAGCTTACGCTGCTGTGGGAGAGAAAGGGGAACGTGGCGTTAGTTTAAGTGTTGTAAGCTGTGGGGAAATTGGGGATACATATTGGAATAATGTTAGGATCGAATCGTTTTCAGAATCTTTGATGGAATCCCAATAATCAAGAAAAGTAATCAAGACACGAGGAACGGTTCGTTCTATTCCATGGTACCGAATACGTATTCAGAGACATGGAACGGTTCCTTCAATTCAATCATCGACCGAACTTCTCTAATCGATGGTAACGACAGTGTTGCTAGTTCTCTATCACCACAAGACCTTTTCACCAGGTTGTGGCTGTCACTCTTCCCTTATGACAGGATAATAGTCCCATTCGAAATCAAACAAGTAGATTCCATCATCTTAAAATGCCAACGGTGCAGAAACCCTGCAATCAATGCCGCCCTTTCTTCCAATAACAACAACAACTTGTTCCATCGACATATGACCGCGGAAAATTAAGAGCAGAAAACATGACACAATCCCAAACAATAACGGCCAGTGACGTCCCAGTACCACCGGTAGAGTAGCAAAAACAAAAGCAAAAGCAGTAATGTCATCGGATTTCCTTGTTGTGGTTGTTGTTGTTCGCCTCAGCGCGAAAGAAATCATGCTCTGCACAACCACACATGTGTCACCGGGCAGCATGTTCGCTGTCAGGTAAGTTGCACTGGTACATAGCGGTCGGAGTGCTTCTGGGATTACCTTCTGCTTGCTTGCAGGCTGCGTGGTGGCGGTGCAATATTGGGTTCCCCGTGTCTTCCCGTGCCACCAAACTGCTCGGGAAATGATTTAAGGGGAGCACCAGCGGAGGAGGAATTCCAAGCTTCGAGTGGGTGTCGGTTAGCGGCTGACTTTCAAAACGGCGCAGCGAAACAGTGTTTTCGAGATAAGGGTCTCTCCCTCTCTCGATGGGTTGTTGGAGGAGAAGCGAACCCCATCCCGTGTACCGCATAATCGTGTTAATTCATAAATCAGGCGTGGGTTACTAATTTCCTTAATTAACGCATGCGCTCTGTGCCTCGCGGTTGACTGTGGACCTTGTGGCCGCTTGGGCCCGGGTCCGAACGCCTTAATGGGACCAACATGAACCGAGCCGAGATGGATTATCTGCATACGGAGAACGGGCGGCGAAAGGTATTGTGTTGCACGGTCGCATTGCGGAAAATTTTCTCGGGGAAAATATGGTTGCGGATGAACATTCCGGAGGAACGTCGAAAGAGGAGTCTTTAGTTCTTAATTTTTCTTTAAAGAAAATCTAATCTGCTTACAGTCACTTCGCTATAAAAAATGTTTTTCGAAATTATGAACTCAAATTTGTACTTGTAATTTACAAGAAGAGGTTGAAAAGTATAGGTTTGACACATAAAATCAGTCAATTTTGCATTCAGAGAGTCACAATCAATGATTTTATGATTCGTGAGCGCTCATTCAATGATTCCATAATTTAGTAGAAACTTTTTTTTTTAACAGCGAAGAGAGTGGAAGCAACCCTGCCTATAGCCTTCGACTCCGATTCTTCGACTCCGGATCTTCGACTCCGATTCTTCGACTCCGATTCTTCGACTCCGAATCTTCAAGACCGACTCTTCGAGACCGACTCTTCGAGACCGACTCTTCGAGACCGACTCTTCAAGACCGACTCTTCGAGACCGACTCTTCGAGACCGACTCTTCGAGACCGACTCTTCGAGACCGACTCTTCGAGACCGACTCTTCGACTCCGACTCTTCGACTCCGACTCTTCGACTCCGACTCTTCGACTCCGACTCTTCGACTCCGACTCTTCGACTCCGACTCTTCGACTCCGACTCTTCGACTCCGACTCTTCGACTCCGACTCTTCGACTCCGACTCTTCGACTCCGACTCTTCGACTCCGACTCTTCGACTCCAACTCTTCGACTCCGACTCTTGGACTCCGACTCTTCGACTCCGACTCTTCGACTCCGACTCTTCGACTCCGACTCTTCGACTCCGACTCTTCGACTCCGACTCTTCGACTCCGACTGTTCGACTCCGACTCTTCGACTCCGACTCTTCGACTCCGACTCTTCGACTCCGACTCTTCGACTCCGACTCTTCGACTCCGACTCTTCGACTCCGACTCTTCGACTCCGACTCTTCGACTCCGACTCTTCGACTCCGACTCTTCGACTCCGACTCTTCGACTCCGACTCTTCGACTCCGACTCTTCGACTCTGACTCCAATTTAATAAAATACAATTACTAAAACAAATTCCGGGAAAAAGTAAAACTTCCATAAACATCTCAACCATATTTAAGCAATCTTTAACCAAATCTGCCGTCAATTTCAGCGAAATTGATAACACTTTTTCTCCAATAAAAAGGGACATTGCTTTAGTAACCACCGATCAAATCAAATCAAATCAAATCAAATAAAGTAGTCATGTCTTTCTACCAAGAAATTAAAAAAAAAATATAATATTGCTCAAATTGCATTGGAATGTCAAGCTTTTCAAAAATCGATAAAAATTGCAAAAGAAGTTGGTTGCAGCTTTGAATGAAATTGATCACAATGAGAATTGAAATCCACAGATTTTTTCGAAACTAATCACAACTTCTCAATATAATTGAACGAAAATCTGTCCTAGGAAATTTTCACAACTTTTGAGCATTTTTAACAGAAATAGACATAACTTTTAAGAAAATTATCACAATTAAAAAAAAAAATCATAATGTAAACACAATTGGTCTCGAATGAGCATTTTTTTTTCCAAAACTGAACCGAACTGTTAATAATTTGGCAAGCTGTAGGCACAACCAACAAAGTTTTCGCAATTTTTGTATGTTGCTCGGATTATCGAAGGGCTTTTGAATAATTTTTGAAGATTTATGATCAACTCTCCCTTACTCGATCGCTCCCTAACTCGACGGAAATCCAGGCTATTTAGACCTCTTCTTCCATACAAAAATTCCAAAATTTACCTCCATCACTCGATATCCTCCCTAAAATCTTAAATGTATGCAGAATTTAATCTTCAATTCTTGTCAAACATTACCTCAAAATCTTGTAGAATTTAATATTCAATTCTTGTAGAATTTAGACTTAAATTCCTGTGAAATTTTAGATTAAATTTTTGCCGAAGTTAATCTTAAATTCCTGTCGAATGTAATCGCATGTTCTTTTAGCATTTAATGTAAAAATAATTTTCTTGCACAATTTAATCTTAGATTCTTGTAGAATGTTATCATATTTTTTTGTAGAATTGAATCTTTAATTCTAGAAGAGTTCAATCTTAAATTCTTGCAGGATTGAACTGAAATTTCTTGAAGTTTTTCATCTAAAATCCTTGTAGAATTAAATCTAATATTTTTGTAGAATTTAATCTTAAAATTCTTTTAAGATTTGATTAAAAATTCTCGTTGAATTAAGTCTTAAATTTCTTGAATAATTTATTCTTAAATTCTAGTAGAATTTAGTTTAAAATTTTTGTTGAATTTAAACTAAAATTCTTGTAGAATTTAATCTTAAATTCTTGTAGACTTTAATCCAAAATTAATGTACAATTTAATTTAAAATTCTGGTAGAAATTAATCTAAAGTTCTTAAAGAATTTAATCTCAATTTTTTGGTAGAATTTTATGAAATTCTTGTAGAGTTTTATGTGAAATTTTTGTAGAATTTTATGTGAAATTCTTGTAGAATTTTATATGAAATTGTTATAGAATTTGATCTAAAAATGTTTAAGAATTTAATCTTAAATTCTTGTACAATTTAGAATTAAATTTCAGAAGAATTTAATTTTAAAAGTTATCGAATTTAGACTTAAATTTCTGTAGAATTAAATTCTAAGGTCTTGTCAAAGTTAATCTTAAATTCTTGTAGAATTTAATCTTAACTTCTTGTAGAATCTTATCTAAAAGTCTTATATAATATAATATCAAATTCTTGTTGAAGGTTCTCTCAAATTCTTGTAGAGAATTTAATCTTAAAATCTTGAAAAATTTACCCTTAAATTCTCGAAGAATAATAACTGAAATTCTTGCAGAATTTGATTCTTAATTCTTTTATTATTTAATCTTAAATTCTTGTAGGATTTAGACTTAATTTTTTATCGAATTTAATTTTAAATTTAAAAAAAAAAATAAAATTTAATTCTTAATTTAATCTCAAATTCTTCTTGTATTTTTTTGCAGAATTGAATCTTACATGAAGAAATTTATCTTATCTTCTTGTAGAATTTAATCTTACATTTAGAAGTAAGTCTCGAATTTTTGAAGAATTTAATCTTAATTTATTTATTGTTAAAAATCTACTTGTAGAATTTAACCCCTAATTCTTGCATAATTAACTTTGAAATTCTTGAGGAAAACAATCTTAAATTCTTTTAGAATTTGAATTTTAATTCTTGTAAAACTTAATCTTATTTTTGCAAAATTTTACAATAATTTCTTGCAGAAGTTCGACTCCAATTCATGTCGAATTGAATCTTGAATTCTTATCGAAAAGTATCTAAAATTCTGGATGAATTTAATAAATTATTCTTGTAGAATTTCATGAAAAATTCTTATAGAGTTTTATGCAAACTTCTTGTAGAATTGAATCTAAAATTATTGCAGATTTTAATAAACAAGTCTTGTAGAGATCATTTTCTTGCAGAATTGAATCTTACATGAAAATTTTTATTTTAATTTCTTGTAGAATTTAATGTTACATGTAGAAGTAAGTCTCGATTTTTTGAAGAATTTAACCTTAATTCATTTTTTATTAAAAATCTACTTGTAGAATTCAATCGAAAATTCTTGTTGAATTTAACCCTTAATTCTTGCAGAATTTACTTTGAGATTCTTGAGGAATACAATCCTTAATTCTTTTAGAATTTGAACTTTAATTCTTGTAAAACTTAATCTTATGTTTTATAAAATTTTACAATAATTTCTTGCAGAAGTTCGACTCCAATTCTTGTCGAATTTAATCTTGAATTCTTATCGAAGTGTTTCTAAAATTCTGGATAAATTTAATAAATTATTCTTGT